CATGGGTCGTTCTATTCTTTTAATTAAATCTTAATGTGTTAGAAGGTCGTTTCTTTTTGCTTATAGAAATATGAAACATTCTTTTAGTTGTAGTGTAATTCGTATATAAGTTATGATGTAACATATTTTGTATACTCTTGCAACATGTCACATTCAGAATAAACTATTTGTCGAAAACACATGAGGTTTACGCTTGCTCTGTATTTTTCTCTGTCGGCCTATCTATCTCTATAACATATTAGAGACCTTGACAGAATCGATAAAGATAGCAATGACAACGTCATCGACAAAGCGCATCAGACACATAAACAAATCAATGTGTGTGTGTGTGCGGGTCTAGCGAGTTATTTCTATTCGGTGAGTTGAGCATAGACACAAGTAATAATGACAATCGAGTCGAGAACAACAAGTACTCCAACAGTACTAGTAATAGCAGCATATCAACAATGCTCAATCTTCTTGTTTTCTTCTTCTTCTTCTCCGTCTTCTATTTTTTCTCCTTCGTCATGTTATTTTTTCTAATCAGATCTAGTGCAGTGAACACAGAATAAGTCATTACTATCTACTGCGAAGATTCATGTAAAAATACTGATATAATTGGGAACAAAAGAAAAGATAGAACTTGCATGTGTGCATCAATGTACAGTCAGAATATATAGATAGATCTATTCTACAAAACTAAATCCATCGTCTAAAGCGACTCTAGTAACACATGTGTACAGCTGTTGCGTATTCTACATGCATAATCATATCTTATTTCTGCCTATGCGACACCTTTTCATCGACATGCACATTTTATTTCTTGTTTTTCTTTTGTTCGTTGAGTCAATGGAGAAAAGGATTGTGCTCCTGTAGAGAACCTAACTAAAATGAAAAGAAAAATGATATTTCAACATGCATTTGCATGCTTCTAGCGATTTTCAATCTATGAACACTATTGTTTTCTGTCAAAAACTCTTCTCTTCAATCTTTATCAAATGTTCGCAAGTGCGCACGCCTATCAGAAAAAAGATGGAGTCACATAAAAAAGAAGCAAAAACTTCAAGATGTGCAAATGTCAAGCACACATATAGAAAATGTCACGCTTGGTGCATTGGCAATGTGTACCTTTTTCTTTTTTTTTGTTTTCAAATGAAATATTTTCTCAACGGCGCAGGATATAAAAAGAAGATTTTGTTTCATTTTCCTTCACATCTATATATATATATATATATATATATACGTTTATATGCAATACCTTTCTCAGCTGATTGAGCATTTGTTGCAGCTATATTTGTTGGTGTCATTGACGCTGAAGGTGAAGCTGTTGAATGATGCGAATCATGCGATGTTGAATGTTTACCATCGATTGGACTAGTAGTTTTGAGCGATTGATGTGCTTCTTTGTCTTTTGACTTCGTTTTTTCACTTAATTTGGACGATATACGCTCTTTAAGTGCCTGCATGACTGACTATATGCAGCGATGGCAGACACTGACAAAAAAAAAACTCTCTATTCAAGCGCTCTGATACGAATATTAAGATATTTTCTACGTAGGTGTGACACTTTATGTCCCTATGCTATGCTACTATGACAGCAGTGTGGGTTGTGGTAATAGTGATAGGTTATTGCTGTTGTTGTTTTTGCTTGTTTTATTTCTTGTCGCCAGTAATGGTAGTGATGTTGGTGTAGTGTAGACGAACAGTCAGTCAGCAGTCAAACTGAGAGAAGAGAGAGCGAGAGAGAGAGAATGAGAGATAGTCTATCGGCTTTTTTGATTTCTTGGGCATGAGCGTGGTGCGACGACGCGCAAGATATTTATCGTAATATCTATCTGACACAACGAACGCGCAGGCGAGCAAGCAAGCAAGCGAGCGAACGAACGAATGAAAAACTAAACGAACGGCAGAGAACGGCAAAGAATACGCAAGCGCATGAAGAACGAGAGAAGAGAAAGAGTAGACTAGCGAAAAGAAACAAGCATACTAACAAAAAAAATCGTAAAAAAAAGGAAGAGAGGAGTAGGAGAGAAGTTTTACTCATTGTGCATCAATATATTTGTACAAGTATAGATACGCACTATCGTGACGTTGACGACAGTATTGAAGGGTGCTCACAGTTAGAGTATATTGTTGCCCTATTTATTTGCCTAGTTTTTTTTTATGCATTCACTTTTTTCGTTCTTTTATATCTCATACGAGATCTTGATACTTTGTTCTTTATTTATTTCTCTCTTGGCGATCATTTTTCATATCTTGATATTGTAAAAAAAAGGCGTTGACACTCTTGGCTCCACTCTCTATCAGTTACTCCTATAGGTACTATTTAAATGTGCTGCTCGATATGCGAATTTAATTGCTTCGCCCTTGAGCCACAGTGCCATGTTAACAAGTATGCCTTTATCCTAGTTGAGTCATAGAAAGAAAAAAAAAAGATCGATAGGACTAGTAACATATTAATCTTGAATACAATGGACTAAACATAAGTAGCAACAACCTAATCATGTTTGATAGACCATTATAGATGTGAGTCGATTCAGAATATAAATAAAAAGTACGAAAACATTGATGATCATTATCGATTTGTTGAACAGGTCATTTCTTGCGACACACTAATCATCAGCTAGCGTGCTTCCTAATAATATAATTGCTTGCTTGCCTATGAAAGTGCGCTGGTGCGTGTGAAAAAAACAACAATAGAACAGTAATAATTTTACTATGCATTAGTATTTTCTACCGACGACACATATAAATATAGTTCTCGATAGAATCAACTGAATTATTTTATCAATATCTCGTGCTATTTTATTAGACATAACGCTAAGGCAATCAGAAGAAAATATTCAATTAAATGTTATTTTTTTCTCTCTCCTATATTTCTGATATTCTCAAGCGTGAAAAGACGTTCATATCTCATAGGAAAATTTCATGTACATTCATGTCAATGTAATCCTATCATTATTAGTTTTTTCAATGATGCCTATTTCAATTGACGTGAGAAAAAAGTTGCCTACAACATCAGAACTATGTAATTTTATTCGTCTTAAGTTTCTGTTATTAATCCATGTCAGCATCTATCTAAGGTCGATAAATTCTTGCAAAAAGAAGCTTATCTAAAGTTTTAATCGAATTCATTAAATATTATGAGTAGTTCGCAATGTCTTTCTTATGCCGGAGTTGATAATTGCGAGTAGGACGATAAGAGAACTACACAATATGTTTTCTTGCAGTCCAGATTTGTTATTCATAGCACGACAAAAAGAAATGCAAGCGCATTAAGTATCATTCTCTCGTTAGCACTTTCTTTCTGTTTTTCTTCTATTATAAGACATTGATTTATTGTATGACTAGTTTTCTTTTTCTTTCGGGTTTTTGTTTGAAAACTCAAGCTAATACGATACTTTTTCTTATTATTATTGTTGCCGTTGTTTTTCTTTTGATTACATCATTATATGCCTTTCGCTCGTGTTTTGATGAATTACTTCATAATCGCCATGCTATTGAAGCAAGCGTGCCATTTCTTTTTAATTACTCGATGTAGATATAAATTAAATCTGTATGCTTAAATTTTTGCGCATGTCTCGGAAAAAATCTCCATATTCATTTAGTTAGATATTAGTCAACATGATTAGATTTTAAGAATTGATTAAAAATGTAATGACAATGTCATTTATTTTTTGTGTACGACAACAATGATTGAGCACTTATGCAAAATAGCTTGTTTGAGTAAACAATGAAAATTATCGATGAAACTTTGACAGACAAGGTATAACAGGAAGATTCCTGTTAGAGAAAACGAAAATTAAATTCATTATCAGGTTCCGGATGATGTAGTAAAAAAAGAAAATACAATGAGAAATAAGAGAATAGAACACCGTGCTGTTTCAGAACCTTCTGGTAAGAAGCGACATACAATCAAAGTTTAGGGATTTATGTTAATAGATGATAGATCTGGATTCTTTTTTATGACTACATTTTAATTAGAGAAGATCATAGAGAATAAAGTGGTCTATCATTTTCCATACGATTTTCTTTAGTTTACTGGAATATTTTTACTCTTTCATTGCAAGCCTACAAATGAATTCCTTTCATTTTACAAAAACCTTTCGAGTATGAAATTTTCCTAGATAATTTAATTAGTTGTTCAAAACACTATTTAGATTAAATAAAAAAATTCAACCGTGTAGAAAACAAGAATGAAAGAACATCGTTTCGATATGTTTTATATGCAAATAAACACGTACTATCTCCTTTGCTTGAGTAAATCACGGTAGGAAACTACAAAATAGTAATGCTTTCAATTTCTATCAAGAATTACTGCGAATAATTAGTTCCCCTTATTAAGTCTGAAAAGATACGCTTATTCACAAATCAAATCTACAATAGATATCCAGAAGGGTTTGTTGCCTAGTAAACAAATAGATTTCTATTTTGACTCTTTCATTTTCTGTCCTTGGTATAGTCTTAATGATAGCCAACAAATATGGTATTAGGTCGGATGAGCATAGAAACGGAAACACTGCATGTTCATCTATTCTCTTAGTTTTCCTCATAAAATATGTAAAGCAGGATGTTTCACTGCTTCTGCTTCTTGATTGTTGTCTCAAGAGTGAAACGAAGAGTTTCTTGTTGTCTTTTGACTGGCACACTAATTTACTATTCTTTGTCCCCTTCCTTTAATGGCGTTCAAATGATGTCTTTGGTAATTTTCTTTATTGTAGAAGCACTTGAAAATATATTTCAAATAAAATATATCAACATACAAGACAATTTTTCTTTTCTAGCCAAAAGAAAACAATTCTAAAATGAAATATACGTGTTTTTATGAGCATAATTAGTGAATCAAAATATTTATGAGCAATTCAATTAGGAATGTTTTTGTCTCTCTCCTGTATGCAGACTGATCTTCGACGAGATTTGCTTTTTTTATTATTTATCTTTAGCTTATCTTGTATTGATTAGACGCTGATTCAAACAAAACAATTTTCTTGTTAACTATATCGATATAAACATATTTTCCGTTACTCACATGAATCCGTTGAATACCGAAAATGATAAATTGCTACTGCCACAGAGCCGGTATGTTCATTAATAGTTTTATCGACAGTTGTCGTTGATGTTGCTGCCGCTATTGCTGATGTTGTTGGTGTTAATGATATTTTATCTGTTGTTAGTACGTGACTACTAGGTGTTGATGCCGTACTAGCAACGGAAACCGCAGCAACAGCGTTAGAAGAGTCATCGGTACTCGATGGGTCTGTGTCTTTGTTCTTTTTATATTTACTAGGTGAACGAAAACGTTCCTTAAATGATGGCATCTCAATAAGCTTTTGTCATGAACATGAGTATCAAATTTTAGTGTTGTCAATGTTTCTATTCTTTTACTAGATTCTCAATCTCTTGCATGCCTTCCGGTCTCTTCTTCTTTTTCTTCCTTTTCTTTTTCTTGAACATTTTTTTTCTTGTTGATAATTTTGTCGATGCAGACACATAGTAGACTACAGCATGCACCACAAAATGATAATTCTTTACCAGTGCGTTTTCTATAATTTAGCTTTCCTTTTTCTCCAGCAGTTTTATTCTCTTTTTCATCACGTCATGCGCGCACAAAGACATTCACGTTCAAAAAGATCTCTTTCCCACTTTTTCGATAAGCATAAGAATCTTCTTCTTTTTTGTTTCTTCTTCTTGTTCTTCTTTTTCTTTAATCACATCTCTTGAAGGAAAACATTCCTTCTTCGGTCTTTGTTTCGCCTAATTTCCGCTCATAGTGTAAATAAGAAAATCGGAAAGAAAAATTTAACATGCAACTTATTTCATACGAATTATTACCCTTGCGACAAAATCTTTCCTACGAACATATGTCACTCATGAAAACTATGTGCTAAATTAAATCTATTGAAGTAGCTACATGTATGAATGTTGTTGTAATCATGTTTTTTTTCTTGTCTATTTATTACACTTTTGTTCGTCTAATCCTTCAAGACAATAGTTTCGCTGCAAAAAGGAATATGGAACAAAAGAATTCATCACAAAAAAAAGCACAAGAAAAAAATGATTTATTTTTTTATAGACAGGATATCATTAGTTTTTAAGACGTAAAGGTTATTCGCGCCGATCATTCATCATAGGAGAAAAACAAGAGTAAAATACTACAGTTGGATTAAGTTGCGGTCCTACAAGAAGAATGAATAGAATTATTACGATCGATATGCATATACTATATATATATATTCATACAGTGTATACATGATTCACATACAGAAATATTAATTTTATTTCTTTGATTGAATCAAATAGACTCTCGTAAATTAATTTTCTTTTTTTTAATATTATTTATCAATGAATGGTAGCTTCATTTTTTTTTACCTGAATACATATTTACTAATGATATACATATCACTGACGTACATGGCAAAAGACATGCATATTGTCATTCTATCGAAGTCATGATTTCTTTTCGAAGTAATTATTTCTTTTTATCATGTAACAAAATTCCACCGTCACTATTGAATATGTATTTGTGTTGAATTTCAAAATCATCATGAAAATAACTTTCGACATGAATAATACTGTAACTATTACAAAAGTGATTGTCAAATATAATCTCTATAGATTCAAAAAACCTACAAAAAACATTTTAGTCAATATCAATATACATATAGCATAAAACCTTAAAGCTACCACAAGTTCACATCTGAGAATTAAATTGAAACATCGACTGAGTTCTGCATCTATATATTGATCAATATTATAGATGTCGACACATGGTGTTCAATTCATAAATTGATATTATGAGTCTCAAATGGTGTTTCTCTCCGGGTACGATAGACTTTTTTTTCAAACACGCACGAATGAATTTTACGATATGCGAACAAAACTTCAAAAATACGACATTTGATTGTTGTATTAATTGAAAACGTGGATAATAAGCTGCATTGAACAAACGAGTTCAGGCTTCAAAGGGTTGCTTTGATCTGATGTGTTACAAAAAAAGAACATAGAGAAAACAACTTGTTGAAATGCCATGGCATTCAAGCGGGCATTGAAATGCGAAAGAGCAATATCATGAACATCGAAAAACTTTTTTACTGTTAAATCGAGACAGAAAACATTTATGTCCTTAAAGATAAACAGAAAAGTTCTCATGACTTTGGTGACTGTCACAGATTCGGAGCGAGTCAAATTTTCTACGAAACGTGTTTAAATATCCTAATCGTAAGTTTCGATTGAAATTTTTTATGTGCACACTAAAAGCGTTATACTATGAAGAAAAAAAAAAGCTAAGTCTACACAATTAGAAAACGTGCAAAAAAAATTTTTTCTTTCCATAGTAATTTTGACATGTTTCGCAAATAAAAAAAATGTTTTCATGCATGATCTAATTATGCCAATAATATGGTAAAAACAAAAATTTTCAGAATGTTTTTCTCATCAAAGGATTATCCTTTCAAGCATTTTGATAGAAAGTATTTTAGTTTAAGTCATTGCCTTATGTGTACTTCTGAATAGAGATGAAAACAGTCATATAGGAGATTTACGATTAGGATGCTTAATACATTTTCTGAAATCTTCTTGAGGCTGCTATCGATTTGACTAAACATTTGTCAATAAAACTCTAAACTCTAGTTAGTAAAATAATCTCCATCTCTATTTGGCTGATAGCATAAAGTGCGAACGTGACATACAAGAAAAACTGTATTTAAATGAGAAAACTTTTATGAAATTTGTTTCCTAGAAATTAAAAAGACTATAGACATTATACTTTGACAGTTAGTAAATATGATGTTGGCCCTGAAATGAAAGATTCATCTTACTTGTTTTTACGTCACACTTCTCATGTACCTAATACGCCTTCAAATGACATAAAATAACTGACAGATTCAATATTTTACCCTCTTATGAAAAAATATTTAGCTGCGACTTAAAATAAAAAGCATAAACCTCTAAGACTATTTAATGCTTTAATAAATAAAACTCCTTCTGATAAATAATTGTTAACGACAAGATTTATTTATTTACTCGATTGATCATGAATTTGTCAATGTTTGGTTTTTACTACTGAATTAAAGTTTTTGTTTTTATCAATTCTAATATTTTCTTTTTGGAAATATGCCTTTCTAACATTAGAAATTATTAAATCTAGATTTCATGAAGTAGTTCATATTCTTCGAAAAATATGGAAGGTTAATTAGCAACATGAGCTATTTTTTGGTCTTCAAGGTGATAAGTGAAACAGAAGTCTGGCAAGTTTGAAGCGAAAAAATATGCCTAGAATCCGAACAAAATATAAATGAGATAGTTAATGTGTCAACATTGGCGCATAGATAAGTAGAAAACTTAACTATCAGTAAAAAAACGAAGAAATCAGGCACTATGCTATGTACACCCTGAAGACTCTACAATCATGTTTAGTTTTCTACTGATTTACTAAGAAAATGTCTTTCAGTCGAATTGGCGGAAAAGGCAGAAAAGAAAAAATCCGAAAAGGAAAATGCCGAAAATGGTAATTGCAGAAGGTGAAAACGTCGAATGGAAAAAGTCGAAATGAAAAAGTATAATTAATAAAAGTGTCGAAGAAAAAACTGGTGGAGAAAAAGTAGAAAAATTTTGAAAAGGAAAATGTAGAATGAAAAAGATGTCTATAGATAACGAAATTCGTTTTTTGAGTTGCTATTGGTTGCTAGTGGGATAAGTTAAATTCGCTGTCCTTCTCGTCTATAATCTATACTTGTTCATTGTTAGCGTATACCATATATATATATATATAAACCAGTCTGTCGAAAACGACTAACAAATAGTTTTCTCTTCGGTCGTTGGCAATGGACAGTGAAATATCATTCTTAACGGCTAATAAAGGTAAATCATTATTAGTGTTTAACCAATATATGCTCAAATGCAATAAAACGACCTCATCAAAAAAGTAGTGGGTTTGTACTGAACATGGATGCGACGTATATATGTACACCAATTTAGAAGATAAATCTTTTTGTTTCTTTAAAATTATCAAAAAACTCTATTTTCGACATTTACCTTTTTCGGCGCTTTCCTTTTTCTACTTTTTTCATTCGACGTTAACAATTTCTATATTTTCTCCTTCTATGTTTGCCTTTTCGACATTTTCCGTTTTTTTTTCGATATTTTCCTTTTCGACGTTTTCCCTTTCTGCCTTTTCCACCAAATCCCTTTCAGTTATCAAAGTAATTTATTTTCTATAAGCTTCATTTCTATTATTTGCGGTTAAAAATAGAAAACATTTTTTTTTGTTTTGAAAAAAATGAATGTTGTTTCCATTTTTATATTCAAATTGCATAGTACTTATGACTTTAATCATAATATAGATGTCTGTATACGGACTTCAAGTCCACTAGTCAATCTAAAAATATAACATTTTGTTTTTGTTAAATGAACCTAATTTTTAATTATTTCTAAGATAACCTGTCATTATATTTTATGTGGTGAAATTGACATTCTATTTTTAAAGAGACACGCGTCAAAAGCAGCAAACGAATTGATTCGATGATTGAAATATATATATATATATATATATGACACTTGAGATTAGACAGTTGATTGCTTTTTTCAAGTCTATTATTTAGTAGTCCTTCTTGCTAAATTGATTTCATTGAAATCAAATAATATCGGCAAATCGGCGGAAAAACGATTTTCTCTTGCTCACTACCGGATGTTAGTTCCGTGGAACAGAACACCGATAAAAAGAATGTTTACTTGTTTCAAAAGGTAAAGACACAACTCAACAGCAAAGCGATTAATAAGAGTGCATTTCTTAATAATAATAATAATAATAATAGTATTTAAATTCTTAAATAAAAATTAATTACAAATTAGTTTCGCTTATGAATTCGGAATTTTTTCATTAACGAATTTCTTTTTCTCATAGAATAAACATATCCAGATGTTAGCTAGATGAAAAGAAAAACAATTGTAGTCTTTGTTCTTCTGATACACTCCGACATGTGTTGATTGAAGAATCCTTTATTATCACATTTGCAGTATGATAGTTATAGTATGTTTTTACATCTTTTAAGATGTCTAAGAAACATACAAAAAGCAAAAAAAAAAGTAAAAACATGGAATCAAAATATCCTTATTTATTCATCTTTCTACTCAATCATCCATCATCATTTTTTTTGCTTTTTTTTCAACGGATCTAGAAATCTCATGAGATCAAGTAACTATTTGTGTGCAAATTTTCTTCTTACCATTCTCAACTTGATCGCCTTTTTTTCCAGAATTTGCATTACCCATCAGTTGTTTTTAATTGATGATCATACAAAATAAAAGAACCTAAGTTTGG